TAAATATTTATCTTCCTTGATGACAGTAAGTGAAGAATACTAGTTAAAGCCAGGCGGTGGTGGCACCCACTTTTAATCCCAGCGCTCGCTCGGGAGGCACAGGCTGGTGGGTCTCTATGAGTTGGAGGCCAGCCTGGGCTACAGAGTAAGTTCCAGCACAGCCAGAGCTACACAGAAAAACTTTGTCTCAGGCAGAGGCAGGCAGATTTCTGAGTTTGAGAGTTCGAGGCTAGCCTGGTCTACAGAGTGAGTTCTAGGACAGCCAGGGCTACACAGAGAAACCCTGTCTCGGGGGGAAAAAAAAGAAAGAAAAAGAAAAACTTTGTCTCAAAAAACTGAAAATAAAATAAAACAAATAGAATTCACTTCAGAATGAGTCTCCCCAGAGTAAAGCTGATTAAAACAAAAACTAACCATCTGCCACTACTGTGCCCACGAACACAGCCTTCTCAAGCTCCTCATTCTCTCAAAAGTCCCAGGTGGTGCTAGCTTCTTCTCTCTACCCAAAGCACAACGGGAAATCCATTATATATTTGGTCTTTGTCCCCAGTTCCTAGCACAGAGCTTTGAATCTCCTAAGTGCATGGTTGATGTCTCCTGGACAGTTCAGGATTGGGATTTGTCACCAGAAGGATTACCTTGATTGCAAGTTGATAACTTGCAGCCTCACCGGTCACTAGTCACTGCCTGGGGTGTTGAGCCAATTGAGAGCTGGTTAGGCTGATTTCCTCTGCTCTGAGTCACCGCTGCACTTCACAGGCTCAGCCCCTCCACCCTCTATCTATTTGAGATCCCACCATGTGATCTCCTCTAAGCACCTGTAGAAAATCTCACAAGCTTCTCTGCAGTAATACTGAAGGTGAATTGCATGTACTATACCTGGCTGGATGGTTGGACAGGGTGTGCATTATACCAAAGTCGCCTGTCCATGGAAAAATAGTGTGCATCCAGCCAACTGAGAAGTGTGTTCACTGACTTCTCCATGTGCCCTAAAGCTTATCTGAGATTCAACTTTACTAGAAAACAATCAAAGAGAATTCATGTCAGAACAGATGGAGTTTTGTCCAAGTGTATCTTCTTCCTCTGGTTGTAATTTTAAGTTCTACAACATGCTACAAAAGAAGAAACATGAACTCATTTATGCATGGCCATCCTGTTTACACACTATAAACTAAGTAAGAGTGGCGGAGACCAAACATGCAGGTCCATAAAGCAACAGTACTGCTTGGCTGGCCGCCACACCCCAGTGTTTGTTGCAGTGTGCACCATACATGGCACTGAGTGTTCTCCAGTTAACAAGATTCACCATGCACAGCAGAGCGATACTCCCGTGCTGTCAGGGATGTCATCTGCTTAGGAAAGCATATAACTGAGGTCTTTTTTCCCAAACAAGGCTGATGCCAAGAGAGCGTAATTATAGTAACAGGCCGTTTGGATTTCTTCTCCGTGGTCACCCTACTTCATGATAAAAAAAGAGAAAACTTCTGTTCTAAATCCATACAACCAGATCACTTTCTAGACACAGTGTGATGAGAAGTTTTGAGTATAATGAGAAGACCCCTAAAAATAAGGACAGAGGTACATAAAAATCAATGTGAAATCCCCAGATGCATAATCCAACACAGCCATAAGCAAATCTCACAATTTCTGTGAAGTACTACCAAGATATTGTGTAGGTGAAATGAGATAGCACACAAAAAGAACTGAGGGCAAAGATAGCTTACGAAGATGTCCAGAAACTGAGTGGTGAGGAGGGAAACTCAAATGTTAAGAGCACTGGATGTTTTTCCAAAGGACCTGGGTTTGAATCCTAGCACCCAATGTTAATAGAAGCTAATACTGTCTGTAACTCTAGTTCTGGGGGAATTCTAGCATCCAAGAGCATTGACATTGCACAGATATGGTGCAGGTATATGTGCAAGCAAAACACCCATACACATAAAATAAAAACAAGCAAATCTTTAATTTAAAAAAAATACAAGAAAGAAGGCATTATAAGCTAAGCTGAGGCCGGGCGGTGGTGGCACACGCCTTTAATCCCAGCACTTGGGAGGCAGAGGCAGGCGGATTTCTAAGTTCAAGGCCAGCCTGGTCTACAGAGTGAGTTCCAGGGAAACCCTGTCTCGAAAAACCAAAAAAAAAAAAAAAAAAAAAAAAAGATAAGCTGAGAGAGAAAATGGACCACTTCCCCCTGGAGTTCAGAAAAAAACTCACTTTCATAGACATAAAGCACTACATGTGTGCCCTTTATAACATGCAGCCAATGTCAGAGTCTGTTCTATGCTTCTGTGAGACATCAGGTGAACATGTCCAGTCAGCACCCTTTTTCTGGCAAGTATAATGCATATAAAAAGGATAATTAGTACAACCTCTAATTAGGATGACATAATTAGGAAGAAGGCATGAACTGACTACAGAGACTAAGGTAGAAGAAAGTGAAGGGAAGAGGAGGAAGTGCATGCCTTGGTAGAATACATAAGGGCAGGTCATACAAAGGCATGCCTCTCAGAACCAAACTGTGAGGAATTCTCAACACAAACCACCTTAATTCTATGAAGAAAAAAAACCTACCCATATGCATACATATAATAATAATAAATGAATGAATACATGTAATTAAGTAAGAAAAAACTGTCAATATAGAAAAAGAAAATACTTAGACTAAACCAGAAAGATGACCTATCATGAAATAAAAGGCACAGAGTAAAAGGCGTGGTCACAAAATCACAGTGGCACTGACCCTGTCCTCTGAGCAGTAGCAGAAAACAGTGTGTAAGTCACATGCATTCATTACAGGTGACACGTAAGTCTGTGTCTCACCTTTCAGAACTACAGTGCAAGGCCGAGTAATCTGGATACAGTATGTGGCTAGCACTGGATGAGGGATAAGAAAGGACACTAGTGGAAAACTTCACACAGTATACCTGGTATTTGGCTGAATAGTGTGTGGGACTCTGCCATTCCCAGGCTTGGAACTGCAGTATCTCCACAGAACAGACATTTAAGGAACAACATAATCATCTTCCTCCTTGAGGAAGAGGAGGCTGGGGGTCACGCAGCAGCAGAGGCACGAGGCCGATTTATGCAGGCAAAGCACGAACTCTGAAGAATGCTATTCTAAGTGAGGAAGAAGTCAAAGAAAGGAGGACAGAGGGGAGCACCAGCACTGGGCAATCCCCATAAATGGCCTCTCACAGTGTCTGTGGACCACATAGGAGTATCCGTGCAGTTTCCTAGGAGTCTATAAAACATTCAACACCTGCTGGTTAGACACAAATGATAAAAGTTATAATGAGACTACATACAACATTTAACTTTCAGCTGACAAGATTCAAGTAAAACAGCATAAGCTCAATGTAGACAAATACAAGCACATCCCATACTGAGCACTGAGGAATAGCTGGCCCTGGAGAAGCTGGTAATTACTAACTAAACTCAACCCTCTCCACCAACCGCATGACAGATACATCAAGAAACATCCACAGCATAAGCACGTCTGGTCTTTAGCACTCCCACATGTTGCTATCCGCCAAGTTCACCTGTGAGAGCCATGCCACCAAATAATGAGACAGATAAAAACATAGTACTAAAAATCACAAGAATCGTAACAGTTTTACAGAGGGTCCTTTTATGTTGGGTCACACTCACAGCTACCCTGGACCACAGACTGAACAAACCTGGTCTTCCCTTTCAAAATTAAAAGGGGGAGGGGGGCATAGCTTGGTGGGGTAGCTCCTTTGGGCAGAGTGAGTGACTACCATGCACAAAACACTGGGTTCAGTCCCAGGACCACATACACCAGGCATGGTGGTGGTGCACACCTGCAAGCACGGTGCTCAAGAGACAGAAGAAAAAAGTTTCAGGGCCATCCTCAGTTCTGTAGACAGTAAAATGGCAGCATGAACACCAGGTCAATCTTTCCTCAAGAAACAAACAGAGAGAAACAAAAACCTATTATCTCAGCCAGTGGGATGGCTCTGCAGATTCAGGCGATTGCTGCTAAGCCTGACTGCCTGAGTTCAAGCTCCAGAACCCACATTGTAGAAGGAGAGAACCAAATACAGAAAACTGCCTACTGACTTCGACAAGTGTTCCATGGCACACACACCTACACATTCATACATACATACATACATACATACATACATACATACAAATAATAATAAATGAATAAACATAATTAATTAAGAAAAAAACCATCTCAATCTTTGCTATGATAAAGTTATAAGATAACCAACTACAGTCAAGTGCCAACACCACCAAAGCTAGATCCAGAAATGACCTATCAGGAGTTCAACCATCAATCAGGACTTTAAATGGTGACTCAAACTATAAAATAACTGATTCATAGGATGGAGTGGAACTCAGGCAGTGTGCGCATTGGGAAAGCAGAGGCAAGTTGGAGGCCAGCCTGGTCTACATGGTGAGTTCTGGGCCAGCCAGCTAAAGTGAACTATGGGACAATGGACTCAGAGAAGAGGTAAAAGGCAATTTAGAGGAAAGAAAAACTACTTCTAAAAGCGAAAAAATCCATGGGAATCATGTATCTGTTATTCAGTCCCAGTGCCTCTTATGCTTCCGTATGCCCAGCAGCCAGGGAGAGGTACTTAAAACCAGGAACCCTCTCTCTGCCGGATCTTTCTTAAAAATCTATCGGGAAGTGTATCACCAAGTTGAGGCAGGTGGGTACTTGTCAAATACCTAAGGGAATTTAACAACACTGTGTGCCTCCACTAAACAGCCTAGTATCAAGTCACACTGCAGAGTAAGTGTAGTAAAATTAATGATAAAAGGTCCTATGACTCGCAACCTTTCTGACATTTATAATAACTGACATATATAAATAACAATATTTATGTATTGTATATGCCCCAAAATGCTAAAATAGTAGCATACAGAAGTTACTGGTTTTTATAGACCTGAAGTACACACTACTCAGTCAGGTTGTTTTTAGGGGCCAAGTTATCAGGCAGTTTTTTTCTCTGTTCTCTTTCTCTCACCCGTTCCTGCAGAAGCTCCACAACCTGCTGGACGCAGTCATTGACATCACAGGAATCCGTTTTCAGCACCAGCTCCGGGGCCTCTGGTTTCTCATACTCAGAATCGATCCCAGTGAAGCCTTTAAAGGTCAGCAGACAACAGGCGGAGACAGAAATGTAGAGTTTATTTCATCTGTACCAATCTGCATTGAAGTGAAGGCTTACTAAGCGCTACCCTGCCACGGCATTATGGTACCGATGGCTTTCTTGAGAGAGACCTAATTAAACTTTATTTCTTCTCTACACATCAGTCAATTCTCATTACTCACTGTAGTAACGTTCAATAAGGTCATCAAAAATACTAATGAAGTGAACACTGGTTCATGCCTCCTTGGTGAAACATGAGGTCAGGTTCCCACCAGCCTCGGTGCCATGTGCGTTTCTGTCTGAAGGCAGCTTATTCAACACATTGGTTCACTTACCCTGACCTCACAGCCACAGGCCAGCTCAGCTGCAATGAAAGTAAGGTACTACAGGGCCAGGAAGACGGCTCAGTGAGGAATGGGGCCTAACAACCTGAGTTCACTCCCAGGACCCGCAATGTGGAAAGAGAAAGCCAATCAATCCTACAGTTGTCCTCTGGCCTACGCACACATGCCAGATGAGAGATAACTGAACTACAGAACAGAAATGCTACACAGCATTCTCAACACTGGGAGTCATTTTAACTCCACCACCCAGAAACTATGTGCAAATGTAAAACGACCAATCTGCCATCGTGCCCACCACCAATAGTTACTCCAAGCAGGCCGCCTGTTCCTTCTTCGTCAAGAAGGTGGCAGCTTGGGGACAGGCGGAGAGCCTTTGGGGCTGCTTGGCAAGAATCTGACATTGGCCAAGGACAAGGAAATAGGCTTCAGACATGACAATGACTTTGGGCTAGGACAGGGAAGTAGACTCAGATACTTTGGTCATCCTGATAAGCCCTTAGAAACAGTGATCACAGGAGTGTTCATGGAATTTGGTTTATTGCCTTGCTTGTTCTTTGACTATTTGTGTTTATCGTCTTGCTTGTTCCTTGACTATTTGCATCTATTGTATTGCTAGTCCCTCAACCAAAAAATGACCTTAATATATGCATATAATTAAAATGGTATAAAAGCAAAAAGGAGGAGGAGAGGATGGGATAGGGGGTTCTAGGGAGGGGAAATGGGGAAAGGGGATATCTAAAATGTAAATAAATGAAATATCCAATTAAAAAAAAAAAGAAGGTGGCAGCTTAATCTCATGAGAATCGGCATGAGAGTGACCACAGCCAGTGGCCTCACTAATGAACCGAGCCCCAGGCAGCAAGGTTCCCCATCAGCTTTGCTTGTAAGACTAGACATCACCAGGGCAGGCAAAATTTCCCTCAGCTGCTTATTCCCAGGCCCAAATACAGAGAAGAAATGGATAGCAAATGTTCTCCTCCTCAATTTCCTTTTATCTTTCCTGAGCCAAAAACCAAATACCCAAATCTAGAATTCAAAACTTCTGCAATGGTCCCAGGCTATTGGATCTTGTCGGGAAGGCAAGCAGGTCACCTGCATGAGTCACCGCTACAGAATGTTTACTGTGTAATCTACCTCCAGTGCTTTATAAGGCCAGTATGCCGTTTCTACGAATGCTGACAGAATTAACACAGTATCAAACACAACAGCAAAGATGGACTCTACATTTCCCCTTCGATGCCTAATGTGTCACACACTGAAACTGTGAACAGGCCACGAAACCTAAACATAGAATCAGAAATAGGTAAATTCAAATTTAAGAATCTTAGAGAGGCTGAGTAAAGAGCCTTACCAAGCACTACGACATAAAAACAGGACATTCTCCTTACATCAAGAGCCTTCCACTTCAGGCGATTTCCCAACAGGCGTGGGCCACCTTGCACTTGCATGGTGTAACAGAGACAGCAGAGGTGGTGATGGCTGGCAACCTAATTCTAGATACCTAATTATATAAAGTGGGTTTTCAGCACAACATCTCCAAGTCCCAGCTCTGTCAACCAGCTCACGTCATTTCTCACTCCCAATTTCTTAGGCAAGAGTTATCAGTTCTGGGGGCTGGAGAGACAGATCAGTGACTAAGAGCATAGAATGTTCAGTTCCCAGCACCTATTTCAGCTCCAGAGGATCAAATGCCTCCAGCCTCCACAGGCACCTGCACTGACATATACAGACACGTACACACAAATAAAAATCTAATTTAAAAGAAAAGGGTATCAGATGTACACACAAAAGCAAGACATATCTAGACAATGGGAAACTGAAGAAAACATTCCTTGCCTTTTATTTCTCCGGCCCGTGCTTTCTTGTAGAGTCCTTTGACGTCCCTCTGTTCACAAACATGCAGAGGAGCGTCGACAAAAACTTCAAAGAAGGGTAAGCTCGCCCCCTCGTGAATCTGCCTTGCGTTGTTGCGATCCTGAAGAGAAGAAAAGAAGACAATCACAGAAACAGTAAGTGATCAATAAAACATGATTGATAAAAAGTTGGATGTCCTGACAACAAGGATGAAAGGGACTCTGTGCCTCAGTTTGTCTATATGTGTATGTGTATTTGCAAATGTATGTGTTTGTGTGTGTGTGTGTGTCTGTGTGTGTCTGTGTGTGTGTGCATGCGAGCGTGTGTGTTAAGCTTGAAATAATTCGGTCAATGGCTTCATCTCAAGAACTTTGCTATACCTCAGGGTGTTTTAACAGCAAGTTTTACCCAAACTGGATTTACTCAGAAAAGAATCACAGCACGTAATTTTTTTAAGTTATCTGTATTTCAGGGAAACTTTTAAAAAGTTGAATTTAGCCTCAAAACACAGGCCAATGTTTAAACTTCTTATTACTAACATAATCACTTTCAATATCATAAGCAGCACCTGATGGCACAAAGGCCCCGCACCTGCGTGTAAGGCGATATAAAGCTCGTGATGCACACTAAGCCAGCGTCTGCAAACAGCTTCGCCACCTCTGCTATGCGGCGGACATTCTCTTCTCTGTCCTCGGGACTGAAGCCGAGGTTCTTATTGAGACCCTGACGGATGTTGTCACCATCCAACGTGTAGCACGGAATGCCGTGGCACACCAGGTACTCCTCCAGGGCCATGCTCACAGTCGTCTTCCCTGCTCCGGACAATCCTAGAGCGAACAGTCCGAACAAATTCTATGAGCGGTTAGAACTGAGAGTCTAAGGACAAGCGACTGCATTCGTTATTCTCAGCACCAGGGTCTCAGAAACATCTTACCCAGGATTTCTTTAAGATTGACCTTTTATCTACTCAAAATATCTACAAGCACCTAGGGTTTCTTTATGATTTGAGGGGGTGGGGTCTGGGGGATATTGTTCTTAAGCATCTATCTTTCATAACCCAGAAATCACCAATAAGTTCCAAAAATTATTAACCAATTCTAGTGTCATGGTTGGGTAGATATATTCACATATTGGCCACATGCCACATTTTTACAGTCGAATGCCAAATTACATATAACAAGGAAAGGGAAAGAAAGATGAAAAGTGAATGCAAAGTTACCTCCTCCATGTTCCAGGATCTTATAAGCCATGATAAACCACTGGGGAGTCAATTCATAATATAATTAATCTGACCAGGAAGTTCTAATTTCCATTCACTCAACTCTCCTGACTAGGAAAAAGCAAACATCTATACACAAACACTTCACCACCCTGGAGATTGCATATCAGAGTCAGGAGAACCATAAGACAAGAAATGAATGTGGAAGTGTATAGTTTCAATTTGGTTTAGGATGGCCACGTAGCACTTGTGCTCTTGTAGAGAGTACTGTGACATCCTGGTATGGGGATAAACATCCACCAGCCACTGCTGATTTGCTCTTACACAGGGGTTTATGGAATTTGGGGAGGAGGACCCCCTCCACCTGCCACAATGTTTGAGGGAGATGCCAGAAGAAATCGTAAATGGAATTCGGACTTCAGGTTTCCTAGAAAATCCAAGCAATGCACCTGTGCACCTCATGGGAATACGGAGAGCCACAGTTCCCATGGAAGGTGCAGCTTGTGTCTGGTTCCCCTACCTCATGGTTCCTGCCACTACATGTCCCTTCACTGATTCCTTTGTGCCCGCTGGCACCTATGTACCCGTGGCCCTGTTCCACCTCAAGTCACCCACTGAGGTCATCTTCTAGTCTTGTCATTGCTGTTGCTTTGGTACAATCTTGCTACTTACATGGTCCAGGCTGATCCTGAACTCACTCCTGGGATTCTAGGCCCGTGCCACCACACCCACTGATTGCTCTCTTGACCATACCTGTCAGCCAGACTGTGCAACCACGGAAGCCACCTCTGGTCCCCACCACCTGGCCTCTCTTATTCCTGCTGACATGGTGGGCTTGATAGGTGACGTTGGTTGCTCTCTGCATCCCCTAGAAAAAGAAGGAAGGGAAAACAAGAATTGTAGATCACCCGGGTCCTTTAAAAGGTCAACACATGTTCCTTGTAAACACATAATCAGTACTCCATATAAGATGCTAAATGCAAGGAAAAGCTAAAATCGCTTTCATTTTCTTCAACGCACTTCCATAATGTTTGGCATCTTACATTTACAGCCAATTGGATTCTCAGAGCAACCCAGTGACATGAGTACTCTGGTTACTGTAGTTTTATAGAACTTGAGAAAAACTTGAGAAAAGTTATTAAATAATTTGCTCAACATCTCATAACCAGGAGTAGAATCTGGGATATTCCAGACTCACACACTTATTCAGTCATTCATTCATTCAACCAGAAATTACTGAGGTCTGTCTAGGATGTCAAGTAAATAAAGTTTCCACCCTGAATGACCTTATATTTAACTGGGAAGTCAACCACACCACACTAAAAAGAAAACAGAGTAGGCGAGAAAGGGGGAGTGTAGAAGGAGTGTCTCCTTCATCAGAATGGTAAAGATAGCAGCTCCTAAAGGCAGGCCTGCAAGGCTCGCTCACCTGCATGGGGATATCAGGTTTCCCAACTGCACTAAATGAAAGAAACAATCTTTCTAGCATTGTGTACTCTTGGCACCTCTGTCAAAACTCAACTAACTGTGTGTGGGCTTAATTCTGGAATCTCTACTCTGCCCTGTGGTTTAATGTGTGTCTGGATCACTATACCCTTATAGTCAAGGGGGGGATACTTCCCGCTCGGTTTTCTTCTGGTAAGACAGCTTTGATTATCTAAGACTTTCTGAAGTCCTTTACCAGTTATCTGATTGGTTTTTCTAATTCTGTGGAGAGAGGGTTACTGGATATTTTTTAATCAGAATAATTTTTTAATTGTTTTTTAGTAATCTCATACATGCATGGATATAATGTATTTATAGCATATCTACCTATAGTGGTTTGAATATGCTTGGCCCATGGGGAGTGGCACTATTGAGGTGTGGCTGTGTTAGAGAAGGTGTGGCCTTGTTGGAGGAAGTGTGTCACTGTGGGGTGGGCTTTAAGGGCTCCTAGTATTCAGGTTCTGCCCAGTGTAAAAGGTTTCCTCCTGGCTGCCTTGAAAAACAGTCTTCTGGATTCTTATTGGACTTGATTTACTCTGTTACAATAGAAAAAGCTGTGTACAGCTCTTGACTGTGTATAGCCCTTAAAGAAGAATGTTGCCTTTACATAGACAAGACAAGGAGGGTTAAAGAGAGCATGAAATAGGTCAGTGAAGGCCCCAAGAAAAATCAGAGAGAGAAAGAGATAGATGAATGCTGGTATAAGAATTCAGCCTCTCTAAGGTTGTCAACCCTATTTCCTCCCATCTTGGGACCATTATTTGGGTTCTTTTTGCTTTTTTCTGCTGGTCCCTGGCCCTCAAATAGGTGGACTAACTCTGATACAACAGATAAATAATTTGGTAGCAAAACCTATTCAGATACATTATCATAAGTTAGCTATGGAGGGCCATGAGACTCAAGATGAGGTTGTTACTTTATACAGGGTGTTTCCAAAACCCATCTCCACTCAACCTAAAAGGGGGGACTTCTGCCCCTAGACCAAGCAGAGAGGGACCACCCAGAACCCCCTCTGACTGGTGATCTGAATTCTTGCTTATGCTTCGAGGCTAAGTACTGCAAGGGAATATAAATAAAAGATAAAAATATCTCTCTGGGTTCCCTGAGGGACAAGCCTGACTGCATAGGGGTTGATGTCAAAAGTATCCCCTCTCCAGGAAAAAGACATCGGGATGGGTATGGCCCTCATGCCTCACTGGACAACGACAGAAGGACTGGAGCCATTACAAGGTCCCCTTGAAATGCTGGAGGTCAGGCCTCTATCCCCGCCTTCACAAGTTTAGAATTGCCACAGCCCTTCTATACTTAGAGAAGGGAGGAGATGTCAGGGGTAGCCCTGCTTACACACTGAAGGCCTAAAATCAGCCATAGGCCTAAAATCAGCAATAGGCCTGACATACATGTATACTAACACCAAGTCGTGGGTCTCTGTGGAAAAACATTGAAACAGATGGCTATAAGCTAATGTAAACAGGTAGCTTTTGTGGAAATTTACAAGCCTGAGTAGTCATAGACCTTGTAAATAGGTAGCCTTGGCAGACAATACCAACTTAGATAAGGACAAGCGAGTCATAGGCAGAGTCATAGTGACTTGTCCCCTAAACCTTCACCCAGCCGATACCTGGTTCTGAAAGATATCTGTATTCCCCATGAACACCCACACTCCAGTGTCATTCCCTTCCCCACATCCTGTCTTTCTGTGTTTATAACCCCTGTGTGAATGAATTACGCTTTGAGAAAAAATAAATTATTTATTAAAAAAAAACAAAAAAAAAACCAAAAAGACAGTCTTCTGGCAGCCTTCAGATCAAGATGTAGAACTCTCAGCTCCTCCAGTACCAAGTGTGCCTGGCCACTGCTCTGCTCCCACCTTGATGATAATGGATTGAACCTCTGAAACTGTAAGCCAGCCCCAGTTGAATGTTGTCCTTATAAGAGTTGCCTTTGTCATGTGCCTCTTCACAGCAGTAAAAGCCTAACTAAGTCCCCACCCTCCCCTCATATCCCCTTCAACTCCTCACCACCACCACCACCACCACCACCACCACCACCGCACCTTCAATGGCATCTTCACACCTATGCGTAAATGATGCTCGGCTCTCAATCCCTCCCCACCTACCCTCCAACACGCCCCTTCAGCTAGTTCTCTCTCTTCCCCCAATTAGCATCACCTCTGCTTTCCTTTAGCCGGGAATCCTCACTATTCTCTACCTCCCTTAAGATCGCTTTTATGATCTACTTTCTAGTTTTGTAAACTATGAATAAAGGCATATATATATATATAAATATATACATACAAAGAAATGTGCTTACAATTTTAAATTTAGGTGCAAGAGAAAATACAGTGTTTGTGTGAAGCTGGCTTATTTTACTTAAGATAATGATTATCAATTTCATCTATTTTATGCAAATGTAAGAGTTATATTTTTTTCCTTATGGCTGTATAAAGCCCTATTGTACTTATAGACCACACTTTCTTCATCCATTTATTTGCTGATGAACATCTGGGATGGTTCCATTTCCTGACTTATTGTGACTAGTCAACATACACACACACACACACACACACACACAAACGATGATGCCCAATGTCTATGAAATGTCTTGACTCGGTGTCTAAAACTCTATAACCAAGAGTGGTGTGTTGGCTAGTATTATGTCAACCTGACAAAACCTAGTCATTTAAGAGGGGAGCCTCAACTGAAGAACTGCCTTCCCATAAGACCAGACAGCATCCACACCTGTAGAGCACTTTTTTAATTAGTAGTTGAGTACCACTGTGGGATGGTGGCCCAGGGTTCTATAAGAAAGCAGGCTAAGCAAACCAGTACACAGCACACCTCCATGGCTTCTGCATCAGCTCCTGCCTCCAAATCCCTACCCTGTTTGAGTTCAATGATGGCATGGATACCCTTACCTCCCCAAGTTGCTTCTGGTCATGGTGTTTCATCAGAGCAGAGAGAAACCTAACTACAAGTAGTACAGCAGCACCATGTGGTAGTTATTTTCAGAATGCTGAGGAACCTCTGTACTGACTTCCATAGCGGTCACATGTGTTAACATTGCCTCTAGTGGTCAACCAGGGTTCCTCTCCATGGAGTCCCTGCCATCACTGCTCTCACTTGGTTTCTTTTGTTATTTGGGCGGGGGAGACGGGGTGGGGGTGGGAAATTGGAGCGTTTTTTTCTTTTTGAGACAGGGTCTTACTATGTAGCCCTGAATGGCCTGTATATATGGACCACGCTTTCTTCATCCATTCATCTGCTGAAGAACATCTGGGATGGTTCTATCATGGTTCCACTGTATACACCTGGTTGGTCTCGAATTCAGAGATTCATTCACCTGCCTCTGCTTCCCAAGTGCTGGAATTAAAGGTGTGCACCAGCAGCTCATCAGACGCATAGCTGGCAAAGACTGTTCTGTAGGCTGTTTCTTCACTCCAATGATGTTTTCTTGGCTATAAAGAATCTTCTTTTTTTTTTTACATGTATTTACTCGTGTATATGAGGGTGCACACACATGACACAGTGCACATGTGGAAGTCAAAAGATATGGTTCTCTTCTTCCATTGTGTGGGTTCCAGGGATCAATAGAACTCAGGGCATCAGGCTTGGCACCAAATTCCTTTACCCAACCACTGAGCCATCTTGGCAGCTACAGAATCTTATTAATATAACCCAGTTTGTCAATTCTTGTGATCATTTCCTATGCCACCAGAATTAAGGAAACACCTGTTTGTACCTTATCTGGAAACAGAGTCTAAGTTTCCTCTAGCAGTGTCAAAGTTCTAGGTGTTATATTAAGTTCTCTCTGATCCCTTTTTCATTTACCTTTGTGCGGGGTCAGAGAAATATCTAGTTTCAGTTGTTCTTGTGTGGAAATTCAGGTTTCCCAGAAATATTTGTCCAGGATATCTTTTTCCCCAAAGTATGTTTCCCACAGTTTTGTGAAAAGTTAGGTGCTGTGCCTGGGTTCCTATCTGGGTCTCCAATTCTATTCCACTGCTGTCCTGATCTGTTCTGTGTCAGTGGATATACTGTTACTATGGCTCTGTAATACAATATGAGATCAGCTGTTGATACCTCCAGCATTACTCTTTTCTCTAAGCATGACTTCAGCTAGTTCTGGACGTTTTGAGCCTCCCTGTGAGTTTTATGATTGTTTTCTCTAGTTCTGAGATTCTGATAAGGACATCCATGGCTTTCACTAATAGAGCCATTTTCATGGAACTAATTCTGTCTATCTATGAGCAAGGGAGGTATTCCACCTTCTAGTGTCTTCTTCAATTTCTTTCTTGAGTTTCATTGTTGAGGATTTTCACCACCTTAGTTAGGTTTACCTTACCGTTGTTTTGGGATAATTTGACTTCTTTCCTATTTGTAT